AATTAATGGTGAAGTGGTACTAGCTCTGGGAAAATCAAATTTTTAAACAGCTAAATGAAACAAAATATCATCTATCCTGACGTAATGTAGATTCCAAAAAGCAAGCCAAATCAGCAAAATGTTTAAATAAGTTGGTGCTGGTCCCAACAAGTCATTGGATCATATGTAACCTTTTTCTTCTGATAAAAACAAAAGCAAGCAAAGTTTACTACTATAATTGCACCCTCTGATGGCAAAATCTATATCACAAAGATATCACCAGACAGAGAATTTTAAGTCTGAGGAAAAGAAGATTATTTCTTTAGGCATTTAGTGTCTCTTAGCACTCATTTCTTGCCAGCAATAAGCATTATTCAACACCATCCTGATCATGTCAGGCATCAATGTCATTTATACTGAAAACTCGACCTTGCATCAAATTTTGAAAGGGAAAGCACATTCCAGAAACTATATTTTATATAATTCCAGCATAAGACATTCTAAGTAACCTTAGATCAGGTCATCTACAGCTCCTAGTTAAGCGCTGCCATAGAACCCACGAACCCTGTAAGGTCCTATGAAGTTTACAGATTACAGAAAACTGGAAAGCAAAAGAGCATCAGCTTGTGACACAATTTGCGTCAAACATGGGGAGGGCATCAATAGCATTCCTGAAATTCTATTTTAATAATCCCAGCAAAAGACATGCTAAGTAACTTTGAATCAGGTCATTTGCAGCTCCTGGTTAAACGCTGCTGTATCTCCCAGGGATGTAAAAGGTCCTCTGAGGTTTACACTTCACATACTAAAGAAAACTGACCAGAGCATCAACTTATGAGACAACAGACCCTAGAATAACTGGCACTATTACATGGTCAAAGTAGTAACAGATAGATCACTTCATAGCTTCATTATCCTGGACTCATTGACATAGAACTTTCTATAGACTTGGATTATAGCACCCACAAAAAAAGAAAAAAAAAACATTCTTCACTTTTATAGAATATTAAGATTATCGACTCTAGCAATTTGTCCTTTCTTGTACAAGGACACTGTTAGTATCAAGTGCTCTTCTATCACTCATGGCATCACATGCTTTTCCTCCCAAATTTCTAAATTAAAGAGCCGGAAAACCCTAAGTACCTCTTTCAGTAATTTGATTGAAGAAAAGAAATTATAGATGTCCATAATTGAAGCCTAAAAAACATGAGACAGGAAACCGATAAGTCTACGAGAAGGAAAAAAGAAAGATGATTCTTCAGACGCATATAGGTAAAAAGAATAGAATAGAAGAACTTGAAACCTGGAACAGAGCTTTTGTCAATAGAGGGTTTTGGATTAGGATATGCCTCGCTTGCTGCCCGGTTCTGTTCTATTAATGTCTGCAAATGAAACAGAAGCAGATAGCATCGAATTATCAGGAGTTGTTTAGATCACAGCGGACGTCTGAAGGAAAATAAAAAAGAAAGGTAGGAGAGCGAGAAAGAGAAAGAGAGAATGCCTTCATCTGAGACATAATATCATAGAGCTGGTTCTTGGACATCCCGGCGAGGCTCGTCGATGCGGCGTCGCCGGCGAAGTTCTTTGTCGCCATCGCCGAGAGAGAGAGAGAGAGAGAGAGAGTCGAGGAGCGGGGTTTGTTGAGTTTCGGGCTTAGGCCGAGGGAAATATCATGGATTTCGCTTTAATCAAATTCGTTTGGGCCGGGCCCAATTCAAACATTTCTGTCCTCATTATTTTCTCGGTCTTTATATTATTATTTAACATATATATATATATATCATTTTCTATTCGTATTTTTATTATTATATACGTAATAATATAGAAAACAAGCTGTGTGTTAATTTAATAATTTAAGATTATGAAATTAAAAAAAAAAAAATCTAAAACAATATTTTTCATGCGCTACGGATTTTAATATCTATCGCAATTTAACTGGGAAAAAAAATATAGTTTAATTTGCATATAGATTATCTCATAAAGTTACAAAGAGGAAGCAAATCTCGTTAAATTAATTTTGTGTAAATTTAATTTTTTATAATTTCTAAAAAAGTATTTTTTTTTTTTTTTTTTATAAATAAAATTGCAGATTTACAAATATTAACATAAAGGTTAACACATTTACAATAGTATTGTGCATATTAAAATATGAGTTTTGATAAAAAAAAAATAAAAAAAAAATAAACTTAAAAGCTTACCAAGGTTTTTTCTCTCTATTTGATAGTGATAATACACATTACTAAAACAGTAAACAATACAACTCTAGCTTGAGAATTTTCCCTAGCTATACATTTACTTACTGAAATATAAAACCTAGTTTTAACTTTACAACATTATTATTGAATTGGCTTCGCCATATTTTATGATTACAACAGTGCACACGATACAGTTTTCCATGCACTTGAGTTAAGGATTGAAACAAAAGTTAGATTTTTCACAATTGATTTATATATAAAGCTCTTTACCACATTGTGTCTAAATTAAATTGTTGCTCCTGTTGTGGTTGTGTTTGCGCTGGATCTAAAACCTTAGAAAAAGAAGTTTGGAAGCTGGAAGTGCTCAAATCATTTTTGTTGTTCTCTAAATTACCAATTCCAGCTTGTTGCATAATTGAGTAGTGATGTTGATGATCGACACTCGTAGCTTGATCTCTAGCCATATTTCTTTGCTGCAATGCTCTCAAAATTAAAGAATTCACTGAAAGATTTGAGCCCAACAAGCTAGAAGTCCAAGAGAGCGGTGACGAAAGATTTGCAGTTGCTGCAGCAATCGCCATGTTCAGGTTCATATTCATATTTAAGTCATTAATGTGATGATTAGGACCACCATTATGATAGCTTTGTGTTGATATGTTACTGAATGTAGTCGTGCTTGATGAATTAGCTGCATTAATGGTATTTAAGTTGGGCAGCTCAATGTCTCCAAACTCATTGACGATCGAGTTTGTGTCACATGGAGATTCAAGTGATGGTGCTTGCGAAGAAAATGTTGGTTGCTGTGGTTTCTTCACTGAGCTTTTCTGGAATACTCTACAGACTACCCATTCTTCCTGTAAAATTAAGTATATGCAAAATCATACTCATCAATTACAATAATTTAATTAATATAGTTATTTACCCTGAATTTATATAATCAAATCATTTATCTTAAATATTATTTATGATTATATATAAAGAATCTTTCCCAAAAATATTATTTATCATAGCACATGTGGCCTGTTAGATAGATTAAACTGACTCAATACTAAACTTACATTATTGTGATAAATAAGATTTTTTTTTTCTTTTTTATAAAAAAATGTGGTATCGAATACCTATTAAACAACTTAACATACAATAAATAAAATCGTTACAAATATTCTACGAAAACATACAAAAGATATATAAAATATCATTTAATCATATTTTTTTTTCTTCTTCTATATACACGAGTATTTTACTACTCAAAATGTTAATTTTGAGTGTTGGAAGCGATATATTGGTTTAGAAAATTTTAGAACCTATGTTTTCAATGTATTTTATTCCATGTCTCTAATTAACACTCAACGTTATTGATTTAATTTTTTAAAATAAGAATAATAATATAGTTTTGAGATTAAGTTTTGTTTAAATTTGATCTTATAAAATATGAATGAAGATACAATATAAATATGATATAATAAAATAAGAATTGGACTCTAATTGTAAATAAATTTTACATTCAATGTTAAGTTTTAGTAATTATTTTTGCAACCTCTACCTTGACAAAAAAAATATAAATGTAAATTCATCATTATAGAGTTTAAAATATGATTAGATAAGTGGACTCATCAATACATCAAATATATAAGTAAAAACTAAATTCTGCAATTCAAATAGTCAACACTTGGAAAATGAATGGAAAGTAGAATACTCTGTAAATTAAATACTACGTAAATGTTTTAATTATTACCTTTGTGGATCTGAAAGAATGTTTGTGATCTAATCTATATTCATGCATGACCCAATTGCTTTTCACCCCCTTGGGAGCTCTCCCCTTGTAGAAAACTAGGGTTTTCTTCATTCCCACAAGAACTCCTGAACCAGCACGAAAGATTTCCTTGTCTTTTCCAGTCGTTTTCCAGTAACCAGCCTCTGTGGCTCGGTTGGTTCGAAGTCCAGTTGGGTATTTTCTATCTCTCAAGTTAAAAAAATACCATTCTTTCTCTCCCATTGAAGCCTTTCCTACACCACATAATATGTAATAAACTATTGATTTAGTAATTATATATTAAAAACACACACGTAATCTTATAGTCTTATTATCAAAATCATCATAAGTTTCATTGATTGATAAATGAAGCTTATCATCAATCTCTTATTTTCAAGAAACAGCAAATAATTTCCACCCTTTTATTCTTTCTCTCTGTTGAGACATACTTCAATAAAAACCTCACGAAAATCTCTATTCTTTATATATACATTTAGATATAAACACATAATCCATCTGGCAAAAGGGAAAAAAATCCAGTTAATATTATAATTAACTAAAGGACAATCAGTTTGACCAATTAGTTGATTAAGGTACAAACATGATACGTTAACCCAAAATGAAAACAAACAAATATTCAAAGAAGAAAAATAGATTACTACCTGGGAGATCCCACGGTTCACATTTATTGAGATCCGCATCAACGATGGCTTTGGACGTGAAAGTATTATCAGAGACCTTGGTGGTTAAATAATAAGTGATGAGTTCTTCGTCGGTCGGATGAAATCGAAATCCAGGAGGAAGATTCTCCTCCATTGGTATCACTCTTCAAAAAACAAAAAACCCTAGCTTTAACCAAAAGCAAGAAGCAGCGGTGAGAACCACACAACTGCAGCTGATAAGTACGTAAATATATATGTATGTACTTAGATATATATATATATGATATAAAGGGTAATCAAGTAAGCTTCATATTAATGGCGTGAAAACGTGGATCTGTTAATAAAGACCCTTGAAGAAGAAGCTGCAGCCATGAATGTGTTCTTTAAGGGGCGGTCATTACAGCTAACACTTTGACAGAAGATGGTGCATGGGAAGAATTTATCATTTTTTAAATTTATTTTATTTGCTATCACACTGTGCATGATTAGTAAAGAGATTAAATTACTGGAATGCCCATGGGTTTGGAGGATATTTACGTGAAAACCAGGGTTGAAAATTCTTTTGGTACACACGAGGAGGGGAAGTTGAGTCTTAGTTACACAAGATATTTGAGATGTGTATGTATGTATGTATGTATTTGTCTATGATCCTGTCCAACCACCTTCACCCATTTCTACCCACCAAAAACTTGTCTCGTCCAATCACAACAGGCCCTTAAACACTATTTTAATCATCATTACACTAATATATGGATGTATATATGTTTGTATCTATATGTATATGTGTGAAAAGAATAGAGGAAAGAAGGCTAATTTAATTTTTTTTTTTTGGAGGAAAATTAAAAAAAAAAAAGAAAAAAGAAAAATCAGTCGTACATAGTATTACAAATTAATGAGGATGTTTTTGTATTTGAATTAGTTTTAAAAAAGAAAAAATATATATTATTCAAATACTTTTATGCTTAAATAACTACAAGTTTTGAGTTTATTAAAGCACCAAAAAATTAATAAATTAATTTAATAATTATTTTTAAAAAAAAAAAAAAATTTTGGGTCACCAACTACTTTAAATATAATCTGAATATCTCAAATCAACTAAATCAAAAGACCCATTTCATAATTTTTTTTATATTTCTCAATTTAATATCTAATTTATTATAATACTTAACGTGTTAATATAAATTAGTAATATCAAACTCGAACACATATGATTAAATGATACTAAATCGATTTATTTAATAATATTAGAATTTAAACTATTATTTATTATAGAATAATTGAATTATTAGTTTTTAAAAATTAATAAATCTAATTATACCCAAACTTCAAATGAATAGAATAATTGTGTAGTTCGTATTAACTTCATCACTCTTTCTTTTTTTTTTAAAGTAAAAGTGATTAATTAATGGTGCGTTAAATGTCATTCCTTCGTATCTGCTGACAAATTTGATAATCAATCATGCGTCTTCTAGAAAACAGTTATTGAAAGATTAACTTTACATGTGCACATTTCATGGAATATCTATCTATATATATGTATGTATGTATGTATGTATTTTTGGCAAATGCTTCTACTAATCCATTATTTAAGAAGATAAAATTAAAATTAAGGTTTTAATTTCTCTCTTGGGTGAACAAATCAAGGTTAACTATGGTGACCGTCAAAGTTCTCAATATGCATATTTAGTGTGTGTATATATATAAAGATAATATGATAATTGTAAGTACCAAGTATGGTTATAATTAATAATACCAGCAGGCATAGAATATTTGAAAATTGACAGACAGTCTAATTAGAAACTTCATGATCACTGTGTGTGCGTATATATATGTGATTTGATTAATTTTTGTTTCTAGAGAGAGAGAGAGAGAGAGAAGGTGAATAGATATAGAGAGAGTGGGTAAAATGGTGACCAACTTATGACTGCAAGTTATTTTTTGTTGGAACTTTTCTTGGTATTGCATCTAATTAGTTATCTTCAATGTCAATCCTAACCACATAATTTCATCATCTTCTTACACATCTGCCATTTGGGTTTTCTAGAAACACATAAATCTGTATAATAATCTTCTTTTTTTAATCCATTAATTACATAATATATATATATACACACACACACGAGTCGCATGTTAATTGTTATCCAACTTATAATAAGAGCTTAAGACAACATAGCATGTAAATGGTAATACATTGAAAGAAAATGTCATTTAACTTTCTAGATTTGCTTTGTTTAATTTGATTAATCTTGTTCCGATAAACTTAATTAACTTTTTACACACCCAAGAAATTCTAAACATCCTATTAATTTTATTTATTTGATGTGAAATTTTTAAAAATTTCACACTACAAACATGAAATGAACATTCAAATTTCTAAACATATTGTTTGTTATAATATATATATATTATATCATAGGCTTGATTATCCGACCCGGAAATTCCATCTCGGCCCCAAATTCATGGGCTTCCGTTCAATTACAATAATTCCTCCGGGTCCGATTCCAAATTATCTCCATTATACCCGACCCCATTCATCTAGGAAATACCATCTCGGGCTCTCGGCTCATAAATACCCAAAAGTCACCGGCTTCCATGAAGGTATATAATATATAGATACGTATGTATTATTAGCTCATTAGAAATAAATCCGAGTTAATCTATACACATAATCTGTATGTATGTATATATATATATATATGTATGTGTTCATTAGTTAAAAATTATTTGTGTATGTAAAAGTTAATGCATAACTAATTATAAATATATGCATATATAGCAGGAGTAAGAAATTAATTATAATGAATAAAAATTTGATTCAAGGCGTAGTCATTTTCATAGATATAAAGGGGTGCATGTATATACGCATATATATGTAAATATTCTGATATGATTTATTTAAGCAAATAATCATATATTTAAAAAAAAGGATGCGTGTGAGTATGTATAGGAAATTAACCAACATGATTTTCTGGCAGAAATCTTAGTATCCAAGTTAAGGACAAACAAAATAATAATAATAATAATAATTATTATTATTATTATTATTATTAATGAAATAAGAAAATATTTTGAAGAAACAAGGACAGAGCACCACTCTCTAATCAGCTTTTTTAAAAGCTTCTTTATTCCATTAGGACGCAAAGAATACTCCAATATATGTATATATTATTATATAGATATATATTTATATGTGTATATAAATTCTAAATGTGGAAAGCTTTTTTTATTAACAAATCTTTCTTTCAGAAAGCAAACTGGAAAGATCAAACATGTTTTCAGATGCGTGTGGCACGGTTTTGGTCTCTTCTTTTCTTTTCATTTTTGTTTCCATTATATATGTTTTCTTTTCATAAATATTAGATTGGCACATATATGTATGTATGTGTATATCTATATATATATATACATACACACAAGGGAGAGTGCGGCAGTACACAACAAATAATTAAGTAATCATGCTAGTTAAAGACTTAAAAGACTGCACAAAATTAGTCATTTTTTAGATTTATCACCCAACAACTACTTGCTGGATCATAATCCAATCAAGATATGTACACATATATATATATATATATATATACAGGTTAAATAATCCAATTAATTAAACTAATTCTTTTCATGGCTGTTCCTTCTGCAACACTTTTTACAATTAATACACCCCCAACTGATATCATAATTAATTAATTAACTGTTGGAATTAATTAACACAGGTGTAGTATATACATGCGTGGGCACACACACACACACACATATATATATATGGTGTACGAGATATATATAGGCCATTTTCAAGGAAGATGAAAGCAACCCGCACACACCCTTTTTGTAGGACTTGATCACTTCGCTTTGTTTAGGTGTATATATATCAGGAGAGGTGTTATTAATATTAGGAGGAGAAGAAAAATGCCATGTTCAGCAGAAGAAGCTCTTGCTAGATTCTTCTACAATGTTTCAACCTCCTCCTTCATCTTCCTCATCTTCCTCTACTCCTCCATAACTCTTCTCGCCAAGTTCTTCCACTTCGTCGGTTCCTACCCACTAATTCAAAGGCACTACTCCATTATGTCTCACTTCTATTATTATTATTTCCTTTAATTTTTACAAGAAATTACTTTTACTTTTAAATCTTTCGCAGAAATCAAGATGGGTATGATTACAGTTTGCTTTCCGAGGAAGAAGAAGAAGAAGAAGAAGAAGAAGAAAAAGAAGAAGAAGAGGAAGAAGACATTAACAATGATAGATACAAGTACCATGTCAAGTACCCAGATCAACCAGATGATCATTTGGTGGCCGCCGACATAATCAGCGGCGGAGATTCGCGCATGTTTTGCTTTAAAAAGAACCAAGTAAACCACTGTGATCATGATCAAGATCGTCAAGATCATGAGCTCATGCACCATTATGATCATGATCAGCCTACTGTAAGTGATCATGATGGAAACTTCTCAGCTGATGATGATCAAGAGTTCTCCGCCCGTGATGATTCTCCGTGTTCAGAATCTGATGATCATGATATCATCAACTCTGATTCAAATCTCCATGGACCCACCTCCACCATAACAGTAGACCTTCGGAAAAGTGGTTTGGTGAGCAGTGATGAAAGCACCCATGGTACATGTTTACTTACATCTATACACTCACACATACATACATGCATTAAACTTGGTTTCTAAAATATATAAACAATAATATTTGCAGAAGATAAATGTTGCAGTTTTAATGAAGAAACTATGAGGAATAAGGATGAGAAGTTTCTGGTTTTTGCGCCGTCTCAATTGGAAATTACCAAGAAGTTCCTTGTTGATGAAGAAAAGGATCATGAGGAGATCTATGGGGACTCATGCACTGTTGGGTCAACTTCAAAGAGTTCATCTGAATGGAGAAGCTCAATCAATTGCAGAGATTCAGGGACTGATGATCCCTTTTCTTCTTCCTCAAGAAGAAGCTGTCCCAAATGGGAGTCCTACACTGTGTTTCAGAAGTATGATGAAGAAATGATGTTTCTTGATAGGATTAGTGCTCAAAAGCTTCATGAAACAGGTAAATATATATATAATTTTATATTGTACTAAGCAAAATTAGATATATTCATGCATCAAGAGGGAGTAAATAGCTTATATTTTAATATTGTTTGGCATATATTACAATGTACGTATCTATTGATTTCAGAGTCACTTAGATCTATACAAGCATGTCCAAGATCAATTTCAGAAAGGCTAGTACACAAATTCACCACAATAAACAAAAAATCAGATCATATTCGACAAAACCCTTATCGCGAATTGGAAGCAGCATACGTAGCACAAATCTGCTTGACATGGGAAGCTCTCAATTGGAACTACAAGAAATTTGAGGGTAAACGAGTATCGTGTGGCCGAGGGTTTGATCCGGGGTGTCCGGCCAGCATTGCTCAACAGTTCCAGCAATTTCAAGTCCTGTTGCAGAGGTATATAGAGAATGAGCCTTATGAACAAGGCAGGAGACCAGAGATATATGCCAGGATGAGGCTATTGGCACCCAAATTGCTCCTAGTCCCAGAATATAGAGGTAAGTTTTGATCAATCTAAATCTCTATTTAATTTTGATTTAAGAGAGAATTACTGATGGAATGTGTTAATATTATGTATATAAATTGAATAATATTTCCTCTATATGTTAAGTAACAACTAACTTTTGTCACATGGAATTAAAATAAATTAAATTAAAAATAGACTTAGAAGCATGATAGGATTTTCAATCAAATATAATATAGTTCTAAATCACAATTATTTTAATTTTGTGAAATTTATAATGTTTTTAATTAAACGATGATATTTTCAGTCTTGAATTATGAAAGCAATTTTCATGCTCAGTCAAATGATAAAAGAGACTAAAATCAAAAGGGAAAAGGAAAGGATGAACACAATTTTGCTTTTTCTTAAAAGGGTATACTGGATGTAGTATATCCTCTTTAACTTGTTCTTTCAATTTTAGATCTAATTTTTTTATTAACCGGACTGGACTAACGATTATGATAAAAAAATTATTTTAATTCGAAAGGATTAGTAATATATTAAGCATTCAAATTCAATTAATATTACAAAAAGCATTTCGAAAGTAAAATCTTAAAGCACAAAATAATTAAAGAACATCCTCTTTTGACATTGTATGACAAAGATTAATTAGTATTAGAAGAGCACAAAAAGTTAATCGAAGAATACTCCTATACTAAATGCATCATATTTTATAATTAAGTCAGTAAACTAATTTCTTACATGGTTATTTAAATCAAAGATTCTGAAGATGATGATCATCACAAGGACGAAGGTTTTGGATCGAGAATTTCATCGGCTTCATTTCTTATGATCATGGAGGATGGTATCCGAACCTTCATGAATTTCCTCAAGGCAGACAAGGAGAATCCCTGCAGCCAAATCCTTAAATCTTTCTTTGGCCGATCAAGAAGAGGCTCAGTTGATCCAACTCTTCTTCACTTGATGAAAAAAGTTAATGCCAAAGTAAGTCTCAACACTAATGTTTAAACTTGTAATTAAAACACAATTAATTAAATTAATTCCTAATTAATTATTTTTCATACAGAAAAAGATGAAATTAAAGGATCTCCGGAGAGCAGGAAAATGCATGAGGAGAAGAAAATTGAAGATAGAAGAAGAGATGGAGATATTAATGGGACTGATAGATCTAAAAGTGGTTTCTAGGGTCCTGAGAACGACTGACATGAACGAAGAACAATTGCACTGGTGTGAGGAGAAGATGAGTAAAGTCAGAATTTTAGATGGGAAACTACAAAGAGATTCCTCCCCACTTTTTTTTCCTGCACACTGAAAAACATATATATATATATATATATATTAATGTCACTGCATGATGACTAGACCATGACAAAGCACAAGCATGAATATCCTAGGGCACCCTTTTGTAAATACTGTACAAAAAGAAATCAGGGTTTGTGACCCTACAAATCAAAGTAAACTGCATGTGGGTGACATAGGATTTGGATAAAGGAATTAAAAGTGGGTGAAGAACTAGGGTTGATTTGAAGCGAAAGATCAAAAAGCAAATTAGCAAAAACAATGAAGATAGAGACAAGGGTAGCTTTAGTTTTGCTTTATATTAGCTTTTGAATATTCATTAGGGTTTATCTGTAAGAGAGAATTAAAAGAGAGTAGGAAAATAAAAAAGGACAAATAGCACATGGTGTACACTGATTTAATTAAAGGATAATTTTGGTACGACCCACCACTTATTCTGTGGAAGAAAAAGAGACGATTTATAAAGTGATTAGTGGGAAAAGAACAATTAAATTAATCTCCAAGATTAATTTATGAGAAGTTCTTATCTTGTAGTTGGGGGATATTATTAGAAGAATTTTGCCTCGTACAATTTAATTATGTTTAATCTATTTTCCATTTAATATGTATTATTTATATTTATTATAAATAAATAGAGGCCACGAACTTAATATTCTTTTTATAACCATTTTTTATTTATTGGTAAAAATAATTCAGTGTGAAATGAATATAGATAAGGTTTTAAATTAAAATATTATTTTTATTTTATTCTCATTAATATTTTATAAATTTTAAATTTCAATTAAAATATCGGACTTTTCAATTTCCTTACTTAAAACAAAATGGTTTGACACATAAACTTTGGGCTTGGGCTTGGGCTTGGCCCGCTGGCCAATTTCACTTTTATGATTGGTCATTATAATAATTTTAAAATTATAATTTTTCTTGTACAATTTAATATATTAGTTTATTTATTTTTTTTTTGAATTTTGTATAAATATTTCAATTTTTACTAAATACATATATGTTTCTGAATTTGTTATTATACGTAAAAATCTATGATTAATTACGTTTAGAAGAAATTTATAATCTTAATGGGATTCATTTTAATAAATACTTAGTTCAGTTAGTATTATATAAAAATACTAAAGCCTGAATTATCATAAAAATTGAGTTTTTAAGTTTTAAATTATATATATATATTTTTTTTGTAGTAAAACATAGAACGTAGAGAATTAACAATGGGTAAAGACTGAAATTAACTCTCCAATAAAAAGTTAGAAATAACCGTTTAGTTAAAGATTATTAATTAAAAATTAAGTTATAAAAAATTTAATTAAATTTAACGAATTGTAATTTACCATTAATATAATAATCAATCAGGACTCGTTAAAGGTTATGTTACATTTATCTATTATAATTAATTTAATTTAAAATAAATTAATCCTCTTCACATAATGTTATTTTAAAAATATATTATATGACTGGGCATACACTTGATATCTCAAAAAATCTGATTAAATAATTATTTTATTATTAGAAAAATTATGTATATATATAATATTTTTAATTGTAAATTAAAAAAAATAAAAGGGGTGTTAGGCTTGTGGGGCCCCCCTATCCTCCGTGTAGCAGACCACAGCATATACGGCGTCGTCATCATCAATGCGTTAAGCTATTGGCTCTACCCTCGCTCAACATGTCTGGCCGCTCATAGAATCAAACTAGAGCGTGAATCCCACGGTTCCATCCTGTCCGTCCATCTATTATTTGTTAATATGAATTAGAGAATTCATTTAATTTAACATTTTAAAAGTAATAAATTAAATTAAATTTAAAGTAATTACATATTATATAAAGCTGTTGGCCATCTCTCTTTAAGATATTTTGTTTAAAAATGGTAAATATTTAATAAATAGAAAGAAAATATTTATTTATTTATATGTTATCATAAGTAAAAATAGGAGAAAAACAAAGCGTATATGTTTGGCTTTTGTCTGCTATATGAGTAGTAGACTAGACACAATCTGGGACTCCTTTTTTTTTTTTTTTTTTTTTTTTCAATAACAAAAAAAGTTATATTTATATTTCTAATTAAATTTGAATGTGTTTTCTATTTTTTTATAGATATTTTTAATTATTAATTTATGGTTTCAATTAAAATTGCAATGATATCTTTTATATAAATATATATATATATTTTACATTAATAAGGAAACCCAAGGAGAAAATTTCGTTTTAATTAAGGAATTACTTATATTTGATTTTATCTAATATCTGTCAACTAAGAAATTTCCCTCCCATGTGTTTTTTTCTTTCTTTTTTTAAGATACAAATACGAATGGGTAATTCCGTAATTGTATGGTTTGAATTATAAATACTGAAATCGGAAATTAATTATTGGACGAGGAGCGTTAAATCAGAAAGGAAATAAAACGCAGCGTTCTGGCAAGCAAGTCCACATGCTGCGTCACGTGGTCCCAATAATATCCATTTGCCCAATAAAGTCGCTTTCCAAAAGCGAAACTACGCCGTTTAGCTTTACCTCACGCCGCCACACAGTATCCGAGGACGTGAGAAGGTGTAGCCTAGGATCAGATTGACCGGGCCCGCTATTCGATTTTACAAAATTTATTATTTATTAAATAAATTTAATTTTTTTTTTCTTTTTAAATTCATTTATAAGTAAATTTTAATATTAATATTACAATTATTAATTATTATAATAACCAAAATTTTTTATTCTATTACTATTTTATATAAATTTTCTAAATTATTTTTTTGAGCAATAAGAATGTCAACGAACAGTTAGTCAAGTGTAACTAGTCAAAGAATCAGAAGGTACATCAAGGCGGTCTCAGAAGAAATAGAAATGGAGTAACCGCACAGGAATATAACTGAAACGGGTCGCATCTTCCTTCCACCCTCGCTGTATGAATACCTACCCATCCCTTTTCTTTTCTCTCTCTCTCTTCCTCCTCGCTTTGTCTATCTGTGTAAAATCAGTGCTTGCAGATTCTCTCTCTCTCTATATCTCTGTGTCCTCCTGTATCTCTCCTCTTTGGAGGAGCCTTTAACCCACCTAAGGTCTTTTGTTTTTCATGGCTGTCTTGTTTTATTTATGAACAGATCTATCATGTAATTTCCCTGGTTCGGGTGCGTTTGTTTTTGTTTGGTTTCCGAGAAAATTCCGGCTTCGAGAAGAAGCTGTTGTTTTTCTTCATACAAAATTTTGAAAAATAAAATTCTAGCTAATTAAGTAGAGATTTCCTTTGTATTGTTGTGTTGGTTTTTTTTTTTTTTCTACTTTACCAAATAGAGGTCCTTTTCGTTAATAATTTTGTTAAAGATCTTGAGTTTATTTATCCGGTTTGAAACTGTAAAATTATGGAAGACGGTGTGATGATCTGATTGATGGTCGTGTCTGTGGTTTGAACAGGCGTTCTGTCTTGTTGATTGGAGAAGAAAGAAAAGATGAACAGGTGCACTTACCAGCAGAGGAACGCCATGGGAGGCTGCGAGGAGAGGATATATGGTACGGTGGTTTGCCCTAAACCTCGTCGTTTGAGTGTCTTGAATCCTTCTTCCATTAACGATCAAACCAGACCTTTGAGATGGCCTGCCAAGTATGTCCTTCCTTTCATTTTGTAAAACGTAAATTTTATGAAGATTTCTTTTGATTTTTTATTTAATAATATTTTAATATTCAATTCCAGCAACCAACCGGAGATTGGAGATTCTAGGGCAGGAGCAGAGCTTCTGGACATATTTCTCACCAAGGTTTCTTTCTCATACTGTCTTGATTCTTTGCGTGTTCACTACTGTTCATTTCTACCATTTTTCATGCAGAAAAATTCATACCAATACAGATTATACATTAAATATTTGTAAGAGTAACTAAAAATTGGGGGAAGATTTAGAGAATTTTGACTTGTTTCTCATATTTCTTTATGGGAAATTGCTTCTTTTCTTTATGGAAAATTTAGAGAAGTTTGAACGTTCTTTAAACTGGAGGCGGAAATTAGAGTGAATTCTTGTGTTGATTATATTATATTTCAGGGAAGTTATGGTGGGGAAAAGTTCAACAGTCAGGTGGCTTCATCGCCACCGTATTTTTGTGGATCCCCGCCGAGCAGAGCTTCAAATCCTGTAATCCAAGATGCTCAATTCGGCTGCGACATCGTGACTCCACCGTCGCCGCGCGTCGCAGCCGGTGGGTGTGTCAGGATGAAGTTTGGACACAAGCCAGCGGCGGTGAGAATTGAAGGGTTTGATTGCCTGAGCCGAGACCGGCGTAGTTGCAGCATCTCTGCCGTGGCTTAATCTTTGTTGAAAGAAAAAAATAAAACCACCATTAAGGGGGAAAACCCGAAAGAAGAAGGAAGGAAAATTTTGACATTGAAAGGAAACTGGAGAGAGAGAGGAGCTAAAATGGTAGTTTGTGTTTACTGGTTACTAGGGTTTCTGTAAATACAGTTGAAGAAGAAGATAGTGATGATGGGTTATGGAATTTTTACTGGAAATTTTCTTTAGTTTTTGTGCTACTGCTCTCATTAATGTGTACATGTAATGAAAGTGATGAGAGGTGTTTAATTTTGAAGAATAAAGAAAAAGCTTGAGAGTGATAGAGAGAAGAAAACTCCAATTCTCTTGTATTAGGGTTTTTTTTTTTTTTTTGTTTTTGTTGATGTAATGATTGAGAAGAGAAGATTGTTGTTTGGGACAAAACACTACTTTGTAATATTCCCTGTTTGTTTACTCTTGATCAGTTCCCACCCCCCCTTGTAATTGTAATTTTCAAAGGGTATTAATCATTTTTTAAAATCTTTTTCTTATCTTCTTCATATTTAAGTCTCTTGTTCTTGTTGCAGGCCTCCAAGTATCATTTACAAGAGTGGATGAGAATCAAATTCCCCGGTGGGGTTGTATGGAATTATTAGCTTAGTTTTAAGAAAGAGATGGTTGATAAAAACAACTAAAAATCATATAATTTTGAGTTTGAGAAGTCAAATTAGGAAGGTAAAATTAAAATTTGTCGTTACCCATTTAAACTTTTGGCTTAATTTGATGATTGATTTGAACCCTCTACTGATTGGCTCAAATTAGTTAACCCCGAAAAAGAAAGAAAAGAAAGGAAAGGGGATTGAGGAAGAAGAAGAAATGTAAGAGTGAGGTGGCGATATGATCAAAAATGAGTAAGAAGTGGGGAATAAAAAGCATTGGGGTCTACGTTCTTTCTTAGATGGTGGGGAGATGATTGCTTTTGCTTTTTTTTGTTTGTTTTATTGCAATTGGCGTTGGTTTCAACACGGAAACAAAGCTTTGATTTTGAATGGTTAGGATTTCTAAAGGCTGAGATCGGGAGACAATTTTTTGCTCTTCTTGTTTTCTTTTTAATAGTTAATTTAATTAATACTTATTTTTTAAAGATTATTTTAATAATTTAAATTATTTTAACATATTTACTTTTAACTTTATTATTCTAATTTTGTTATTTTTTAAAAAAATTAAAAAATACTTAGAGTAATTAATTAATTATTTTTGAATAACAAAGTTGTATTTTTTGTGTTTTATCCATGTTTTTTATTTAACAAAGTCACAATTAACATGCAATAGAAAAAAAAAAAAAAAAAAAGAGTAATATGATGGCTGTTAAATTTTGAACTTCTCAATTAATATTTCTTTGTAAACAATTTAAAAAATCCTTAGAATTGAGAAACTTATAATTGAATCCAACACTTTTCTTTTAAGAAAATAAATGCATTTTTTAAAAAATTAAAAAGTAAGTATAGCACAAATTATGGTAACTTAATTTACATTTTTGGGTCTCTCTCTCTCTCTCTCTCTCTCTCTCTCTCTCATCTCGGGCAAATGTATAAATTCGTTTCAATTTTATCTTATGAATGAATTGAATGGTTATGCTGCCTCTTATATTTATCTCAAAAGATCTTTTGGCAGATTTTCATCCTACGGAGGGAATTTCATCTTGTGGGCGGTTAACAATTATGGGTCGTTGGATTCAGTAGCTTATGGGCTTCCGAACTGAATATGGAGATGAGGGATTGCGTTCTAGACTTTCTCGAAACATCCACATATGAATTTTCGCAAGTGGTAAATTAATTTATATATATATATATATATCATGCACGTAGCATTGTGTTTTTTTGTTAACAAATTATATTATTGATATTTTTGTATGAATTTGTATTACAATAAATTTGTAGGTTATCTATGGGAGTAAAATTCAGAATATGAAATTTGTTACCAAAAGGTTTTGCTTCGAAATTTATTTATGATAAAATTTAAATTTGTCTACTATGGTATTAAATTATATGAAACAATTTGTTTTAAAAGTTCGAATTACAAAATTAATTTTTAAATCAAAGGAAGTATTTAAGCATTATATAGAATTAAGTAATTTATAAATACAAACTTGGTTCATCCTTAATTACATAAAATGAAGAAATCAACCCCAACAATGCATCCAGCAATTTATAAAATCAAATCTTAAAAGATCCTTTGACCATGATTGTTTCGGATGCTCGTCGTCGTCATGTTAAATGAACTTAAATGGCATTGAATGAAAACCACTTAAGAATGTGTACGTCGATGCGACAACTGCTGAGAAGCACAAAAATATATTTTACCTTCATGTTAAATAATTAGAGAAAATTTAAAATCTTTAGTTGTTTTTCAAAATTTTCTAGCAAATTTACTATTGAGTTCTTATAAAAATTCATATTGAAAGCTGTTCAAATGTTTTAATCACAAACATATTTACACATATATGTACACATTTACATCCAAATGAATGCATATCTCAGATTACAGCCTTAAACTAGAGTATATAAACATGACATTACAAACTCTATCTCCGCTCTCCTAAAACCAATCAATCAAAACTTGAAACAATATAATTTAGTGGAAGGAAGCAACAACTTGAAACCCCAGAAACAAAATGTATGATAAAAGAAAAGGAAACAAAATTTTATTTTACATGAAGAAATAAGTTACTGAAATGGCTAAGACTACAGCCTAAATTCACTGCCATCGTCTGGGAGGCTTAACTACTGAAGAACTGCTGCCAGTAATCGTACTCTTTCTAACACCTGAAAATGTACTTATAATGAATATAGATCAAATACAAAATTGTATGTACATCAAGATTAATAGAAATAATAGAACTAGAAATTGATTAGCAATTAAATGAAAAGTTAACCAAACAGGAGCTCAGCTTATTATTTACCAACAAAAGGTAGTGACTAATTCACAGATAACATACTTGGTGGAACTTTGTTGGACGTCCTTGATGCTGAAAATACCATTGATGTAGACTGCCCCAGTTTGGGAACGTTCCTGGTAATCTTAGTTGCTGGTTTGGTTCTGCGTTCAGTTGTAATTTAGAAAAAAAAGAAAGAAAAAACTCCAGTTCAGATTTGATATATTATTAGCATCACTGTGTATGCCTAGGAAGAAATCTTGTATAAGAAACAGATATTTTGTAATAATTCCTTGACCGTAGGAATCTATTTGTATCTTTTAAGGTAAAGGTTGAATTTTCATCATCAAAGAATTTAAGGTGGGATGGTGCTGACTCAAATTTGTAAATAATGATCTAACTATGGATGTTGACACTAAATGAGAACTAAGGGGAAATTAACCAAATGCAGCAGTTATGTAAAAGTATGCTGGACTTGAACAGTACAAAGTCAACATGGCTTGCATTTTTGACCACTAGATCTTCTGATAAACAAGAATCTAAGCAAATATAGTATAAGTCACAGTGATTTCATATTAATATATTTTTTCAAGAAATACTTACTTGTTTGAGCTTTCTGATGGCTTTCTGCTTCCGGGGGAAAGAGGATCTGATGAGCCATCAGGTTCTGTTGGCATAGAAAAACCAGCATCAGTGTCACTTAATCGCTGCTCATATTCAGCCTCCTCCCCCAACACAAGGATCTGATGAGCATCTGCAGAAATATTTTCACCTAATTCGGCAACTTTTGATTGCCGTAGAAATTCATTTTGGTGTTTTAAGTCATCCATGGACTGCTGGGAATCAGCTTCAGACCCTTTATCACTGTAATCTGAACAGCTATTATGATCCGAAGCTTCTTTCCCAGTTGATAGTTTTTGTCTTCGTTTTCTGCTTGGAGAGAGAGATTCATACCTTAATGAGCCTGCTCCAGGCTTCTCATTGCCGCCAGGGTAGACGTTTTTTAGATCTTTTAGTAATTGCAATCTCTCAATCTCCTCATCCTTCTTTGCTATTGTGTCTTTCATGGATGCAACCTGGAAATTTAAGAAAATCAGAAAACAATACTTGTAAGTTGGCATGTCTAAATTCATGATCTTTGATGTTTTATAATGCTAAATTGATATAAAACATGGCAATAGAATTTCAATTAAGTTTCTTTAAGTTCAATATACAAAGACATTGGCCTTAACCAAATTAGTTATATTTAGGCCTGATAAAATGTGAAGGAAGAAATGAGTAAATTCCTTTTTTGGTAAATGAAAAATGTACCATGAACAGCAAAGAAAGAGTAACAAAGTACCTGCTCCATTAAATCCTTAACGTCCCTGCCCTCCTTGCTGCTCTTTGCAGCACCTAGCTCAACTCCTGAGACCCTCTCTGCAAACTTCAGAGTACTAACAGATTCAGAATATGAAGTTATTTCGGGATTGAGCTGCACAAACATAAGTGTCTTTGCTTGGCCACCTGTAACAAGTACAACCAGAGAATATATTTCAAATTGGAGTGATCAAGACAATTCGTTTTCTTGTAGAAGCTTCCAAAGAGCTTACTATTTTCGAAACCAATTACAGTAACTAAAGGAAAGCTAACCAAGAGAACTTTGGAGGAGTTGAGTGAGTTTGCTGTTTCTGTAAGGTACATGAGAACTCTTTTGAGCAAGAGCAAAAATGACATCTCCAAGGGCAGAGAGCGATTTGTTTATGTGTTGTGCTTCTTTAAGTCTGTCTCCAGTGGCCTCTGATCGATCTACCCTTTCACTTCCTGCAAGATCTACCAAATGAAGGTTGCCATGTAATGTAGAACCAGTCTTCAAATCCTTTCCAGGGACATGAATGGTGACAACGCTGCGTGCACAGATCTAAATTTATCAGAACGCCCTTGAAGTTTAGGCTATAGAAAATGGAGACCATATGATATAAAAGATCATGTATAGGAACCTATGAGAACGGCTACTTCTTTCATTCATGGCAGTGGCACCCATAGCTCTGTTCTTCAGTCCAATATCCATTAGTTCCATCACATCTGAAGTTGATGTAACAGGGTGCATACTGGCATCAGGTACAGCTAACCCATTGGGTTGGTTTCTGGACATAATCCCAAGTGTGTGCAAATCAAGGTAAACGAGAAATTATAAAATGGAATACTTTTCATAAGGTGATAAAGATTTAAGCCAATGCCTTAAAAGAAACTTTGATAATCACAAAAACAAGCATGCATGTCAAGGACATCTTGTCAGATAAAGAAAA